TTTTTATACGAAAAGTTATATATAAACAGCAAAACAGTTCTTATATCCTTAACCACTCCTATCTAGAAATAAAAGCTCGTCCCATTTCCACAATCATATCCACCCCTAATTGTGACATGATGGAGGCTAAATTCAGATATTGATCAAAATCAAATTCAAATAGAGCATCCAATTGGAAGGTGAAGGTGTAAAAACAATTAAAAGCATACTTAGAGGTATACATGATAGATTTGCAAAACACTCATGGAAATATGAAATGTGCATTTGAGTACTAACCAAGGTAACAGCTTCTTCTCTCGGGAGATTGAAGATGTAATTCCTCAAAGGTTCACATCATCTCTTACTGCCACAAAACCATAAACTTCCATTGGTCCACCCATTAGAATATCTGTAGCAAATCTCAGACAAAAAACCTGCAGCATAGTTGAAGCTTTGTACTTTTCTCCTGGTTCCGGACCAGCAAAATGCTTGCATCCCCAACTGGCTATTGATGAAAAATGAGTCAGAAACATATATCTTTTATATTAATAATACAGAACAATGTAACGAGAACCAAATTATACATACTAGGAAATATGCCCGTGCGTTGCAACGGGGAGAAAAAAAATATATGTCTCTTGTCATTGAGATGTTATCTTGTATGACACTTATAGGTATTTGATACATAGATGAGATTGATATGGTTATTATTTCTATAAAATCTCAATCAACAATTATAAGTCAAAGGAAATAAGAATCTTACCATGCATGTACTAAAAGATCTAGACGTATATATAATAATAATTATAATATAATAATAACTGCTGCTCTTTGGGGAGTTTGGTATTAAGCTCTCTAATTTTCCTTGAATAATCATCGATGTATTCATTAATTTGATTCCTGATCTTCACTGCTAGATCTGAACATAAAAACAAAATGCATATTAGGCTATGCTGAGTGTTGCAATAATAATGTGTGTATAGTATGAGAACAATTATCTTCAAACTACAGGTACAATTGTGTTGTTTGGAATTACAGCATTCTTTAATATTGCATAGGTTGAAAAAATGATAGCCACCAATTCACTACTCACAAGCTCACTTTCAAACCACCAATTCATATATGGTAGCGATAACCAAATTTCTAATGTTGAAATCAGGTACTCGCTACTCACAAGCTCACTTTCAAACCATCAATTCAATCAATCTCACAAGCACAACACTGTGTTCACATTAGAAGTAGTCCTCTTGGAACCCTGGGACTTCTAGTTGATTCTACTATATGCATTAAAGGTTGTTGATCATCTATCGTGCTGTGCCCCCTCAACTCATCACTGTGTCAAAAAGAACCCTATTGAGTGACAGTTTACTGGAAGAGGCAATGGTTGATAACTTGTGAATGACGACATAAGTTGGTACAAATTGCAAACTGTAGCGTGGTGCTATTGTGTATATAATCTAAAATTTGGAGTTGAGCACATAAGGTAAGGTTACCAGATCACATGTGCTAAAATCACTTGAATAGTTGTGCTGTCTGAGAATGATGTTTTTACTTATATATGCCATACAGTTTAGTCTTTTAATTTACTGAAGCAAGAATCATACATGTGTATTATTTCTGTTGATCAAAATGATGCTAGCCAATTGCAATGAGTTTTGTCGAACATGTTGTAAATAAGTGATTATGGTGACCGTAACTTAAAGAGAACCACTTCGAAACTTAACTATGCCCTCAGTCTGTGCCTCCAATGGAGGTGCTGAGGAGCAAGTCGGGCCAAACCGCCTACTTTTGACCAAACCGAAACAAAGACCTGATTACACGCTGGATTGCAAAACTGTTTTTGCAACAATCTGACAACGGTGAGGGGATCAGACCGAATAAAGCTGTGTTACGCTCCTATTATGAAATTGAAGCGGAAGTCGGGTGCATACCAAACGCGGCCCTGTTGTGTTCATCCACCTCAATTACCATCGAATCCCAATTCTCCCAGTAAGGCTCCTCCGTTGGCAGTTGCACCGCCCTTCCCTCCGTGATTAGGTTGACAGCCATGAGATCGAGACAACCCTACTGCATAACACAAAAAGGCACGAGAGGGAAGAAATCTCAAGTAAACATCGATTCGAGAAACGAGAGAGAGAAAATCTCAGATACACATCGATTCGAGCAGATGCGCAAGGAGTCGGATGTTGTTACCAATCGCAGAATTGTGGATGTTGATCGCGCCCTAGCGATCGCGGTGGAAGCGCAGAAGATGCGGTGGAGGAAATCGAAGAGGACGCCGGTTGGACTCGAACTCGACAACCAGCACATTCGAAAGGGGGTCAGTGGTGGGCTGACTGGGCCAGACACAGCAAGCCCATGGCCTGTCTCTCAATTTCCTTCCCGTTTTTCTTCGTGGTCGCTCGTGGGGTGCGAAAATTCCACGGACGTGAGCCCAACATGGAGCCGGCGACCCCTCCGGCACCCGCCGCCGGAGTCACGGCCACCGTCGACCTCTCCCCAGTGGCTGCGAGCCTCGGCGGGGCGCACCTCCTGCCCTGTGGCATCAGGCAAAACGGCGGCGCCCCCGTATCCGACTACTTCAAGCCTAGGGCCACAGGTCCGTTCCCCCCGACTCAAATCCCTCGTTTCGTTTTTCCCGCGCATTTGGTTGAGGAATGGCCTCCTGACAGGTGTGGAGGTGGAGGGGGTGAAGGTGGAAGAGGCCTTCTTCCGCGGAAGGAAGCTACAGGGGGCTACCCTAACTCTCCCGGATGGCTACCGAGGTGACATTTTTTTTTGAGTGAGCTCTGTCGCTCAATTAAGAATGAAATAGAGTTTCATGTACAGGCACCCATGATGCCAAAAAACCTGGTCATAGGACCAACTCAAACATCGGCCATAGAGCCAGCCAACACCCAGAAGCCACCGCTCATGCGCTTGTACAAGCCTACAAGATTTGTGAATTTATCATCAGTTTGGGAGCTTTGGAGTGGGAAATGTGATTTTTTTTCTCCTCTTTCTTCATCGATTCATAGCAATGGACATTGATTTATGGTCTGAATGATAGTGAAGCTGTGTAGAATCAGTGTAACTGCAACTAGATGCACCTAAATTTGACATTCTCTCCAAACTGCTTGCGCGCCTTTAAGGTGACTGGAGGAATTGTGTGTGGCGCTGATAAAAACTGAAACTTTATGTGCAAACATTGATCTTCTAGCAGTCCTAAAAAAAGGTACCTTCAAATAACGTGTTCTAATAAGAATTAATTGATGATTCAAATGCATGCTAACAAGTATAAAAACTATGAAGTAAGGAAGCCATGTGCAAAAATCCTGAAGTTTCAGTTTGAGTTTGACTGCAGAAGTGATCATTGAATGGTGGTGTGATTCCTTTTTTTATCTGAAATATGGTCATCGGCCTTCTTAGTAAATAAAGGGCAGACCCAGTGCCGGAGGCTCCCACATGAGTGGGGTCTGGGGAAGGGAAAAACCGAGGCAAGCCTTCCCACCGCAAAATCTGCGGAGAGGTTGCTTTGAACCCGTGACCTGGTGACTCAGTGAGACAGCTCTCACCACTGCACCATCGGCCTTCTTAGTACAAATAACAAATGTTAAATTGTCTTGGGATGCTAAGTTTGCATGTACATCTAGAATTCTAGATGTGTGGAGATGATAGGTGGGTATCAGTGGTAACAATCTGCCATTCTGGATCTTCAATAGAAACTGTGAATTCAAGGAAGTCCTGCAGTTTGACCGTGTTTATGATGCTTTTAATATTCTCTGAAGGTTATGTATTGGAGAAGAGGCCTGGACAGAATTCAGATGTTGAAGTTAGCAATTTTGTATCCCGAGCTGAGTTCCAGAACATAACCTACTGGAATCATGATACCACGCCATCAGCAGAGGATTCCCTCCCAAGGTGCTTTCATTGGTTAACTGTTGCTAATGCGGTGAGTATATATCGATCTGTTTCTTGTCCAATTATGTAAATCCATTTTGATCGTCTCTACTTTCCTGTGGTTAGCTATATGCAGTGGGTCATAAAAATTATAATCATTGAAGCAGCAGAAATGTCATCACATAGACTGACAGACATGATCTTAATTTTGGCTTTCCTGTTTGTACAGATGCACAAACCAGTGACTGCTGAAGACCTGGCTAACATGTCAGCAATGCAGAATCAGGGCAACTAGATCCATTGTATGACGATTATGATTGTAACTGGGGCACGGTGAAAAAAATCTACTCAGTGCAATTTCGATTTAGTGAACCATCCCGACAAGATATCTTCCTGTAACAAACAGCACATTGTTTGAACACATCCACTAGGTAATGTTTAGGCTTTAGGGTAAAGATGCTTCAGTAGCATCTGAGAATGCTTGGATAATTTAGGTTGGGACCTGTATCAGTTATCTCTAATGTTGTGACAGAGTGCCAGTGTTGCCTTTGTGTCTATCTTGCCTTAATGTGATTGCAGAAAAAAAAAATCAAAGAATCATAATTCTTTTTAAAAACATTGAAGAATCAGATTTGTTGCGGGCAATAATGTCAAATAAGCATGCACCGATGCATTTCACCATAGTTTTTATCAACTCTATCACGGCCTGAGTAGCACTGATACATTGGAATTACAATGGAAGCGCCTCTACCACTGACAGATTGAGTCTTATTAGAAAACCTCAGCTTGGTAGTTAGATCGTACAATGGTCTGTTGGGCCTTGTGGGATTCATCAGACTCATCAGAGAATCAATCGGCGGGCTAATTTTCCCATAGGAATACCGAATCTTACACGCATGATGCGCAATTAATCACCATGCATGGTATAGGGCAAGGCTAATTGCAAAACAGTGGATGTTCAGGGTCTAACCCAGAGTGCTAGAATAACAGGAGATACATATTTGAATGGGGCTGCTCAGTATGAGTACAAGGCTCTAGCAAAAACTAGGAGAAAGAAGAAACAAAAACAAACCTCTCAACACTCTACTATGGACCCCCTGTTTCTAACCAAAAGAGTGGCAACTGAAATTGCACATCGTCACTCATTCTTTCCATTGCAAGCAACCATAGAACCCAGGCCCAGCCTTTGCCTTCAGCTCATGACGAGCATCTTTGCCCATCTCAACCATGTCGTCAAAAGAGTACGGTCCAGTTCTTGTTGTCTCATATACTGTATAAGCAGAATCACAGAAGTAATCAATTGTTGTCAAATTGTCATTAATGATGAAATGCAATAGTTTTCTTTCAGTTCTTTTAATTGATATCGAGCATACCTTTAGATCCATATGGTGTAGCCAATAGACCTCGGAATGAGCAACTCCCATCCTTATCACGATGAGCATAGGCCGCAATTGGAGTTTGGCAGTTACCATCAAGCATTGCCAAGAATTCTCTTTCGCATGCAACAGCTGATCTGGTATCTTCATGGTTCAACGAGGACAGGTACTCCATCTGCAAAGGGGTAAAGAATGGGAGCTCTCACAATCTCACATCTTTGGCTATATAAAAGTGTTAAAAAACCATGAACCCAGGCAAGTGTAGTGTGCTCTGCAAAGCTGCATAGGACATTCATGTGCATTTCAGAGTAGAACAGAAATGTGCACTCAGAAATTAGAATATTTTACAGCGCTTAAGCTGTAGTTTTGAATATTATTAAACGCTTTCAGAGAACCAAAAAAAAAAGAAATATAGTCCGAATAAATCAGCAATCAGCAATAACTAAAATGAAGATTGCGCTAGGGATATAAAAATGTGAAGGCTGGCATGACAAAGGAATCAGATTTTAAATCATTATTATGGTTCCTTATAACAGCATCATCTATTGTATGGTTCTTATTCAGGAACAAAGAATGGACAATGGAGCTTATCACTTGATCAAAGGAGCATGGCAGCACCAGCATGCAAAGTTAAATAGCAAAAAGATAGCAAAGCTGGTGACCTGCGATCATATTTCTAATGTGGAATTATGCAGCAGCACTTTTTTTTCATCTACCAGCGCACTACAACACTGGACAACGTACCATTTTGTCGTCATTGCTTCGGCAAGCTATTCCAATAGCACCTTGGGCAACTGCTGGAAGCATTTCTTCCATGGATAATATAGATGTCACATTTTCCACCATATTTAGCCGCTTTAGTCCAGCCAGTGCCAACAGCGTAGCATGGACATCTCCGTTCTTGAGTTTCGTTAACCGTGTCTGAACATTTCCTCTTAAGTTAACAACCTGAAAGCCACTCAATACTGTTAAGCCTTATAGAGCAATTAAGATAAGTAAAACACACTTCTAAATAACTAGCTATAAGATTGTGAAGAGAGTCTACAACTGGACAGAATCCTCTTTGTAACCAAAACAAAAAACAACAACAACAACAACAAAGCCAGTCAGTCCCAAGCAAGTTGGTGTAGGCTTTTGTAACCAAAACAAACAAAAAAAAGAAGAATTGCAATAGTACATCCAGGCTAGGCAACTTTTCACACATATGGCACTGAAAGCAATTGCTTTACGATCACACAATTGTTTATAAAAGAGTCCAGAACTGCAACTGGTAGAATAAACAATCTATGTCTGATGCTTCAGAGTTCAGAGAAAAAACTCAGATAGCTTGACCTCTCTATATATATAGAAGGAAAAAACACCAGATAGGGTGATGAATGAAACGGCCATGCTTACCTTGAGTGATGGATATCTGTAGAGAATCTGAGATTGTCTCCTCAGGGAAGCACTTCCAATGACGAAACCAGAAGGAAGCTCCGCAAGTGAATTTGCAGTCAAACATATAAATGCATCTCTAGCATCTTCTCGCGGGAGGTTACATGGCAGTATCGTCCCTTCAGGTAGATATGTTGGGACATCTTTCATAGAGTGAACAGCGATATCGATCCTTCCCTGTAAGAGCTCATCGTCTATCTCCGCCTGTTCGCTTGGTCGTAAACGATCGTAAATTTTCACCGCCTGTTCGCTTGGTCGTAAACGATCGTAAATTTTCAGTCAGAACAGTATTTTTCTCTCACATCAAATCAGCCAGTAATATTTCTTCACGAACCAGCAACGATCTAGTCCAGCCAACAGAACAGGCTGCTCCTTGGTGAATAAACCCTTGCCTCCATGTCGATGAAATCTGGTCGGCAGTCTACCGAGGGGTATACCCACGGTAGTAGATGATCGGTGGAGGTGCGCGTAATAGGAACCGGATAGTGACACCAGGCGCAGAGACAGCGATTTAGACATGTTCGGGCTGTCTGATCGACGTAATACCCTACGTCCTGCGTCTTTGTTGAATTATATTGAATATGAGATGCATTTGAAGGGGGTCCCTAACCGCCTTATATAGTCTGGGGGTAGGGTTACAAGTCGGTTTAGGCCAAGATCTATTCGGTTGAATGATAAGTATTTATAAGGAATACGATATCTATCATATCCGAACAAATCTTCCTTCGTTGTCGAGATATCTTCTGATTGCCTTGCGGTGCACGCCGATCAGAACTAGGCACCGTAGGCCTTGATTTTATGGGCTGGACCTCTCCTGGCGGTGCGGCCCATGTCCATTACCGTGGGTACCTCCCACAGCTAGTTCTCGAGCGCCTTATATCTGCTGAGCAACGCCGTCTTAAGTAAGTCCGAGCAGTTTAACTTGGAGTCAGCCAGCAAGTCTGACAATCTGATCAGTTTAACTTGTAATCCAATCAACAAAACGAAGTGCCGACCAGTTTAACTGGTAATCCAACCGGTGGAAATTGAAGCCAACCAATTTATCAGGTGAACTGATCTCGGACTTAGCTAAGTAAGGCTTGCCAGAAGGATGTAAGGAGCTCAAGTTTAAAATTTAAAAATTTTTCGCCTTAGGTGAATTGTACACACTTAGGCTTCGTTGGCGAAGTCAGATGATCATCATCCATGACTTATGCAAAGAGGATATTAGTACTGATATATGCGCTGCAAGGTGCAATATATATATTGTAGTCCCCGAGCTTGATAGTAGGTGAAGAAGACACCTAGTGTCAGGATCAAAGAATTTCAACGATCACTTAGTCAAAACAACCAATTCTCAGCTTAGCCGAGCACACAGCTAGACCCTAGCTTAGCTAAAAAAATAGTAAGAAGAAAAAATAGTACATTCACCGTAAGGTGAAGTGTACACACTTAGTCTCCGAGTCTGATGTAAGATAGAAAACATCTTGTAGCAGGATCAAAGAATTAAGTGTAAAGGGCGAAATTCCTGCACTTAGCACTGGACATATGGAGTAAAACTTGATAATATCGAGCGGTAAAACATGAAGAAAACAGAAAGTGCTTAGCACTGGATTGCTGCGATAGATGTACTTATCAAAGCCCCTGACGTGCCGCCCAAGATCAGCACCCTGATCTGAACAGCATGGAAAACCTTGATATCACACATGACATGCAGCATCGGCAAAACGTAGTAAGCCAACAAGCGAATCGGCAGACGAAGTCCCCAGCTTAGCTAGCAAGCCCCCAGCGTAACTGACGATGAAACGACAGACAATCCAACCAGTTGGTTGGCGAAGAATCAAGTACCGCGCAGCCCAACCAACTGGTTGTCGGTGAAGTAAGCGCCGAGTAGATGTGAATGCCGAAATGTCTGACCAACTGGTCGGCGATGAAGTCATGAACCTAGTGGTTCGACCAGTTGATCAGCGGAGAAATCCGAGGGCCAGATGGTGCGACCACCCAGACGATGATTCTACAATACAAATATGTAGGACGGGTAGTATATGATTTAAAAATAAAATATATAAACTCGGTGATGAAGAAAACAGAGCGGAGTTTATCAGAAGCAATGTATCGATGAATTTTATATCTTGTAGAGCAGTTTATGTTTATTTGGAGTTATTCATAATTGTATAAAGGACTAAATCTCCGTGCTTATCACTGGACATAGGAGTAAAATTTGGAGAGTGTTGAGCACTATACCATGGCGAAATTGGAAAACATGGAGAGATTTGGAGAACATGGAGAAATTTGGAGAATATGGAGAGTGCTTAGCACTATACCGTGGCGAACATTGGTGAACATGGTGAATTTGAAGAACATAGAGAAATTTGGAGAGTGCTTAGCACTTTACCGTGACGAGATTGGAGATCGTGGCGAAAATTGGAGACCCATGACGAAAATTGGAGATCGTGGCGAAAATTGTAGACTCGTGGCAAAAATTGGAGACCGTGGAGAGTGCTAAGCACTGTACCGATGAGACATTGGGGGCATTCTATCCTGAGATATTTGTGCACGCTTAGGAATGTATGCATCACCGAGGAGCCGCTGCCGATCGCCGTGGCGCAGAACACTACTGCTAATGCATACTTAGGGATATAGGCATCACCAAGGAGCCGCTGTCGACCGTCCATGACGCGAAGCGCTGAAAGCTCTAGTTTGGTTTTGGTTAATTGATGAAACCCTAAGTGCTAACCTAGTTTATCAAGATGATTATGAGATAGGTAGCACTACTCCAAGTGATGAAGCAATGACGAAGATCATGACAATGGTGATAGCATGGTGATGATCAAATGCTTGAACTTGGAAAAGAAGAAAGAGAAAAACAAAAGGCTCAAGGCAAAGGTATAAAATGTAGGAGCCATTTTGTTTTAGTGATCAAGACACTTAGTGAGTGTGATCACATTTAGGATAGATAGCCGTACTATTAAGAGGAGTGTAACTCGTATCGAAATACGGTTATCAAAGTGCCACTAGATGCTCTAACTCATTGCATATGCATTTAGGATCTAGTGGAGTGCTAACACCCTTGAAAATATTTGTGAAAATATGCTAACATATGTGCACAAGGTGTTTGCAGGGTTGAGATGGGTTTTGGAAAGATGAAATGTCTATTTTCTATTGCGCCGGATGCAAAATTCTTGGTGGTTGGCACATTTGAGCAAGGGTGAAGAAGTTAGAGTTGAAATGGAGTTGGTCGAAATGATGCTGGCGTCGGTCTACTAACCGGACGCTGGGTCACTCAGCGACTGGACGCTGAAAGGCTGCGTCCGGTCGAGCTGTCAGACGACACAGTGGGTAGGGTTGAGCACCGGACGCTGGTCTACGTCCGGTCAAGGTGGACCGGACGCGTCCGGTAGAAAAAACATGCCTCGGGGAGCTTACTGGAAACGACCGGACACTGGGGCTTCAGCGTCCGGTCAGTTTTGATCAGAGCGTCCGGTCAGCTTCGTAGCCGTTGAAATCTGGCGAACAGCGTTTGAAGCTGGTGACGTGTGGCGTCCATCGGGCGACCGAACGCTGAGGGCCAGCGTCCGGTCGGTATGACCGGAGCGTCCGGTCAGAGCGTGTTTTGCCCAGTGAAGGGGTACAACGGCTCTATTTGATGGGGGCTCTATTTATAGCCCCATGGTCGGCTCAAGGGAAATCTCTTGCACATTTTCATTGACATAGCAACCTTGTGAGCTTAGCCAAAGCCCTCCCACTCATCTCCATCATTGATCCATCATCATTGTGAGATTGGGAGAGAATCCAAGTGCATTGCTTGAGTGATTGCATCTAGTGGCACTTGATATTCGTGTTGCGCTGCGGATTTCGCTTGTTTCTCTTGGTGGTTGCCACCACCTAGACGGTTGGAGCAGCGGTGAAGGATCGGCATGAGTTGGTGATTGTTCGTGGCCGCCTTCGGTGATTGTGAGGGGAGTTGTACCTTCCCCGGCGGAGCGCCAAAAGGTAACTCTAGTAAATTGCTCGTGTCATTGAGTTACCTCACTTGTGGGTCGGTTCTTGCGGTGTCCAATCGTGTGGACGAGGTTTGTGAAACACCTCTTAGCCGCCGAACCACCAAGTGTTGGTCGACACAACGGGGACGTAGCGTGTTGGCAAGCACGTGAACCTCGGGAGAAAATCGATTGTCTCTCTTCTTTGTCATTCTCCTGGTGATTGGCTATATATTCATCTTGTGATTGGTTCATCCCCTACACGTCGGTATAATCACTCTACTCACTCATTTATATTCTTGCAAACTAGTTGATACAAGCTCTTTAGTGTAATTAGAATTGAGAGCTTGCTTTATTATTTACATTCATCTAGTTGAGCTCTTTAGAGTAGCAAGGTTGAGAGCTCTTAGTGAGTAATTACATAGCTAGTTTGTGTGCCTAAGTATTCATTGCAACTAGAATTGTTGGATAGGTGGCTTGCAACCCTTGTAGAGCTAGAGCAAGTTTGCATTACGCTATTTGTCATACTAATCAAATTGCTCTAGTTGATTTGTAGATTTTTAAATAGGCTATTCACCCCCCCTCTAGCCATATTAGGACCTTTCAAGCGCTACTGCTCATGCATACTTGGGGATATAGGCATCACCAAGGAGCCGCTGTCGATCGCCCATGGCGTGAAGCGCTACTGCTCATGCATACTTGGGGATATAGGCATCACCAAGGAGCCGCTGCCGATCGCCCATGGCGTGGAGTGCTACTGCTCATACATACTTGGGTGCTAGGTCGAGGACAGGGTTGCTTCTGGGTAACACAAATGAGAACGTGGCTGGTTGTTGAATCGAGTGACGATAGAATGCGTTGTCTCAAAGATGTTTAGCATGGAGAAATAAGTATTTCTAGAAAAATTACGAAAAGCAAATGGAGAAAACATCACAGATAGAATCATTATTGAAATGCATATATGCATAAAAAGGTACATATCTTTTGTAGGACGTCTCAAGGATAGAAACGCCTAAGGTGTTCGATGTGCCAGGAATTAAGGATGTCAGCGTCGTCTTGATCACAAAGCCTATATGACCCTGGTCAAGTCATAGCCTTGGTGATATATGGACCCTCCCAAGGTGAAGATAGCTTGTGCATCCTGTCGGTCTTCTGTCTCCTGCAGAGTACCATATCGCTGACCACGAAGGA